TGTTTTTTTCTCGATTAAAAGCTTTTATTTTTATAGAAAGGGTCTCTTCATGTTCTTCTTGTTGAATAGAGCTCGTTCAGTTCCTTGTTGCACAGGCTCAAACATCCTGGGTGTAGGGTGTTCATCTGCTTTCAGTCTGCTGGTTATTTAGAGCAACAAACAGATTGAGTTGTTTCTGTGACATACTGCATGCCCTCAGTAATTGTATTCTTGTTTTATTTTTCATCTCTTATCTTATGTTTCCTGTGGCCTGTACTGGGAAGAAGCCTCAGTTTTTCACTGCGTCATCATATCTTTGCTGCATCTGGCTTTTTTTTTTGACTCTGTCAGGCTAAGCGGTCTCATGATGAAAGTGAACTCCGGCTTTCTTCTGAGTACAACCCGATCAGTTTGGGACTGATCATAGATTAAGGTAAACCACACACCCCCCTGAACTTATTCCCTTTTAAATACCACAGGTACTGTGGTACTAATATTTGGACAATAACATGAATTGACTCATCAAGAAGTTACCCATTCTACACTGCGCCACTTTGCAGTTTACGTTTGACATCTGTACGTAACCTGTTCAGTACAGATTAATTGTGTGTTAACCCAGGTCAGCGTGACACGATGTTGGTTAATTGCATTTACTCAAAAGGCAATTTGTAATTTTGTCCTGACATAATTCACATTATGTCAATAAGCAATAGATAGGTCTTGTAATTGGTGCAACTGACTGGAGCACTTCTTCTGCCAGCCACGAATTTGGCCCCAGGCAAAGAGCCACATACAGAAAACTGATAAACACTGTCAGACTGAACGGTCTCGTGATGAAAGTCAGCTCTGGTTTTCCTTTCAGTACATCACAATCAATTCCCTATTCCCTATATTTTTTGCCAGTAGAAATAGGAAACTTAAAATACGATAACTTCCACGCAAAAAGCTGAGTGAACATTTGCATTGTGTAAAATAAAAGAATTAAGGACAAAGAATGTTGCTCTTAATCCTATTGCTATTATGAATTTCAATAAATGTTTGGTCTTTGCTTTTCTGGCATGTAATTTACCTTTTGTGTTATGTTTTTAATTTAAATCCTGGCACAGTTAAATGCTACAGAGAACTGATAAAAAGCTAATTAAATGAAGCATTTAATTGCTAACGTAGGTACATCTACAATGTCAGGCAACTACAGAAAGTAAAACTGCTTCAGCAACAAGAGAAGGCAAAACAAACTTTTTTACCTGAAAGTAATGTTGCTATATAAACCCTAGAGCTTATTTTTTTTACAGAAATGGTTGTAGAATAAATGAAGTAGCAAGACGGAAGACAAGGATATAATATACATACTGCATAGCAAAACGACAGCAGCACATCTGCTATTAAGAAGTTAACTCCGTTCATATTGAATACCTGAGGAAATTCATTCTGTGTCCTTCAGCTCTTAGCCACAGACTTTCCAACTGAGTTTAGCCTTCTATTAATCAAGCTTTCAAAGCAGTCTTGCTCATATTTTGCATAATATCAAGGTTGAATATAATGCAATGCAGTGTTAAGATAGACGTTCCCTTTTCTGGTATTTTCTCCCTTATTTGCCTGACCCGTTTGTTTATTTGCTTAGTTTTTCCTCTCATTTAACTGGCTTTGTCAGCCTGCACAGGACAATAACTCTGTGCAACTTTGTGAACTTATGCAATATATAGTTCAGCTTATCGGCAAGATCATTTGCAAAACATGTATCAAACCTGTATTTGAAGCTTGTTTTGTCAAGTCTGAACGGTAGACATGTTTTAGATCACAAAACACAATGTAGTAAATGAGGAAATATTTTGGAGCATACAGTGCAAAAGAAAAATAAAACACTATTTTAGAGGGAATTTAGATTTTACGTCTGCAAAATGGCATTAGACCACAAATATGTCAATGGCATTTTTGTAAATATATAAATGGAAAAAGAAAATCCATTCCCATCACGGATGAGCACGGCGGGATTATTTATACAGGTGAGCAGATAGACTGAACACTGTGGGCGGCTTTGCTTTAGATGTGTAGCTTTACTGACTAACACCAGAAAATAAATTTCATATCATCCCGGTGGCAACAAATAGGTGGCGAAGCGCGTCGTGGCGGTACACAGCAGGTATATAAGTTTATGTGTGTGACGAATGCAGGAGTCAAATCTCGTCGCCATCATGAACACAAGAGCTACAAATGTCTGGGCAAGGTGAGAGTTAATCTGTTAAACTGACTGAAGATGAATACATAAACTAAAAACTGGAGGATAGATGTTTTTCATAAGCGTATTTGTGAGCCTGCCTCTTGATTATTGAATTGAATAATTTCAGATATTTGTATAACTTTTCTTCAGGTGAACTTATAAAATGAGCTGTTATTGTTAGTTTAATTTTCTGATCTAGTTAAAGTGATGATTTTTATAATCACTGACAGATAATTGTATTAAAGACCACAATATTTGGATAGCATTTCTTGTGTTTTGCTGGGTTGGCCTTGCAACGCACTTGGTTTTTGTCAAGGCTTCTTTTTTTTTTTTTTTTTAACCAGGATAAGCCAGAGAGGAAACCTGTCCCTGACTCCATAACCTCACAACTTACAAAGACAGGAAGAGATGAAGTACGTGCCCTGTTGTGTTCACTGGTAGCCGTAAAGAAGACACACTGAAATGTTCTTGCGGCTCTTTTCTCAACAGTGATTTTCTTATTGGTAGTCTATGTTTAAGGCCAGCTTCGTGAGTAAAGTGAAGAAAATATTTCTTGTATTGTCCTTGCTTTCATTTACAAAACATTGTCTTAATTGTATGATGGCTAAGTGACAAATTAAAATATTGTAACATCATAGCCATTAAGGATTTAATCATGGAAAACAAGCTCAACAGATGGTATAGCACATCGGTCCTGTGATTAACGGTGCCTCACAGCACCGTTAATCACAGATGCTTTAATCCACACTGGCAATATGACTACTGTGTGTTTGGTTACAAGGCAAATATCCTTTCACATATATACAAAGGTTCTACAAAAAGGTTTTGAAAACGTCTTTTGACTTGGCTGACTGATGAGAAAGAAAAACTTTGTAAATCCAGAAACTGAACATGTGCTACTGCCCTGTGAGAACTGCTTCTCCATTTGCATGCTGCATGAAAGCCAGCGGCGAGCCGTAGTGTTGGGGGTTTTATTTCTAATCTGGCACAAACCAAAAGCAGATGTTTCTAATAAAAGGGAAATTACTCCCCAGCTGAAGGCGTACAGGTAGAATAACCAAAATCACAAACATACAATGACATAAATTTTGGAAATAAACTGAAATTGGTATTATTATTATTATTATTATTATCATTATCATGAGAACAGAAAATGCTCCAGGAAATAAATATAAGCAAGAAAGGAAATGAGTTAAAAGCTTTTTTCATTTTCTTTTGCTATAGACAGCATTTTAATAACTTCCAGACTGTTTAGGAAAAGAGGCAATTCCTCAATGGAAATCCTTGTTACGTGCTTCATGTACCATGAAAGTCTCCCCTGGCTGTGTTGTAACTCAGTACTTCAGAACCTTAAATGAAAACTCCTGCTTTTTTTCTTAAACAACTTGCTAAAGGCGGCATGAATATCTGATATTAATCTTTATTCTACTTGACATGAATCCCACTAGTCTTACCCAGAAACCAGAGAAGTACCAGGCACTGGACGTGTACAGATCTTGTCTCTGTGCCCACCCTCTTTTTCCATGGGGTGTGCATCTTAGAAACCTTTGGGAATGACAGCTAAGCTGAGAGCTGCTACAACTTGTTACGGGCAGAACAAAGAGGGAAAAGCACAAGAAGGAGAGAGACTTTCTCTGGGTTCTTTTCCTATTATCTGTGATTAAAGGTCCTTGTCAGACTTTTCTGTTGAAGCCTCTCACCATACAGTGACCTCTGCCATCTGACTTATGAAAAATGTTCAGTCACATAACAGCAGATCAGATCCTGATGGCAGCAACTTGTTGCCTTTAGGCATCTAGAAAGAAAGAAGACTGGAAAGAAAGCCGGTGAGCAAACTGAGAATCAGAATTGGGGAAGAAAAGGGATTACAGTGACTTTGAACTTGGCGTGGTTGTTGGTCTGATCTACTTTTCATTGAAGAGTTCAAAGTGCCTTATGTAGTAAAAACATAATAAGAAGACATGCAATTAACAATCTACAAACATTACATTTTGACAAATGCCATCACCAAAACTGTCAAAACACATCGAACATATTCAACATATTCAAAAGCAACTCCAATCTTTATTTAATGCAACTACTCAGCTGGTTTTTCCATTTTCTGAAAATGTTTTCCAGATTTGTGGTACTTAGATTCTGAATGCTGCTTCTCCTCGTTTGGTTCTGGTTCTGGGGATGCAGAGCAGAGCAGAACCAGAAGCGCTATACAAGTATTGGCCATTTACCATTTTTATCATTTGCACTTTTCCTTTTTACTCAAACTCGTACATCAAAAACAGAAATGTTTGAGATGTGTGAGAGCAATGCATGAATTTCAGAAAACCTGGACAAGAACAAAGCGGTTGGTGGTCAGAGTGCCTGTCAGAGAATCGAGTTTGAAAAGAATATCATCCTAAATCAGCGCATGTGGAAATGATGAACCAGGTTTAATTTATTGCTCAGTGAGCAATCATTAAGTCAAGCAGCAGTGAAGGCTTTGCTGCACCTCAGAGTGCTAGGAATGAAGGAGTCAGCTGATGGTTGAGAGGAGCTCTTCATTTAATCACCTGTCATAAGAATTATTTTGGTTGCTGCTAAAGTCTCTAATTAGTTATTGTTCGCCACAGATCTGGAGGAGTAGTGATGTCTGGGCGCTAGATTCTTTGTGACTAAATTCTTAGGGGAAAATTAGTGAAGCCGAAGGCCATCTAAAAAAGAAAAAAATCAACATGACAAAAACTTTCAAAGTATTTGTTGGAATGTTTGTTACCTCCAACCCACTCTCAGTACCTCACACCTTCACTTCTTTGTTTTTGCTCCCCAGGTATCGTATCCCTCATCTCTCTGGTGATCCTCTCATACGACCGCTACAGCACTCTGACTGTTTACAACAAGCGCGGACCAGACTACCGTAAGCCCCTGCTTGCTGTCGGGGGCTCTTGGCTTTACTCCTTGTTTTGGACAGTGCCTCCTCTGGTTGGCTGGAGCAGCTACGGCTTAGAGGGGGCTGGAACGAGCTGCTCCGTCTCCTGGACCGCTAAGACCGCTGAGTCACATGCCTACATCATCTGCCTGTTTATCTTCTGCCTGGGTCTGCCCATCCTCGTGATGATCTACTGCTACAGCCGCCTGCTCTGGGCAGTGAAACAGGTACAGTGGCGCTCGGTATTCACGTGTGTTTGTTTGTAGAGGAACAATTTTGGCACGTCATTCTACAATGTTGAAGACAAAATTACAAACAGTTGCTCAAAATGTTTTCAGCTCCCCACAGCAACTTTATCCTGCTACGATTTCTGGTGAAGGGTTCAAACATCATCAATTATTTTACTACATTTAAGCATATTGTCCCACAACTATTTTTAACATCTCAATCTTTTTATCTTTCAGGTTTTTATTTGTTTCTTTTTGATCAATCCATAGTTTTGCATCAGTTATTCTAAATATATGCCTTTACCAAAGATTAACACTAACTTTGGGAAAGGCAAAGCCTTTCCCAAATTACAGTCTCAATTAGTTAAGAGAAAAATAATATGAGATATTTCCTGAAGTCACTTTTGGAAATATTCATGTATATCTTTTGTAAAATGATACAAATATGTTCACTTCTTCTGCAAATATACTCTGTCCTTTAACAATACGGCATCAAATAGTCTCTTTTTGTTACAGTTCACAAGATTAGAGCATGCAGGGCGAACTTTAGCCATTTGGCCATGACTGGTCAACCTGACACAAAATCATCCTGATTTTGGATTTGGATCCTTGTCCTATTAAAAGATACAATAGTGAACATATTAGTTTTTTGTTTTATTGCTGTAAAGACCACAGGATTTTATTTGGATGTCAAAAAACCTCTGGATGAAAAATGGGTCTAAAGCATCATAGATCCTAATCTGTCTTGCGGTGCTTCTCTCCAAATTGACCTTTTGCTTCAGCCAGCTGGAGTTTGTGTTGCCAAACAGTAAAATTTTAGTCTGTCATTATGCTAAAGTCAAAGGATTGCTTTGTAAACTCCTTATCCATATCCAGCTCACCCATACTTGTTCAAACTTTGACTCTGAATTTCAATTGTTTCATATGTACCTTCTCTTATAGCTATTTTCTGATTTATTCAGATCTGCATATACCAGTCTCAGTAGTCAAAGATACTCTGATCGACATTAAAAAGGTAAATATAAATTGGAAATTTCTTCAGTGGGAGATTGACTGGAGTTCAAATCCAGAACTTAAGACCTTTGCTGCACTTGTTCCCCATTCTCTCTGCCTATTTTCTGCCTGATTGCTGTCAATAAAGACCTTTAGTGCCTCAAAATCCTTGGGGACAAAAGAAAAAGGTTCAGTTCTATTTATTTTGTAAAAATTGTTACCATAAGATTTTGAAAACAAAATTTAAATGGGAGAGTTTTTTATGCTCATAATCAAGGTGAGATTTTATAAAATATTTTCATGTTACTGCTGCAATAAAAGATTCAATTTGTGATTTATGATTTTCTTTTTAAGCAGCAATTCTTGACCAGTCTTAGTTGGATAGAAATGAGAAAAATGTTAAAACTTTTATTGATAAAGTTTGGCTAAAAACCTGCATGTACTAAAGATTCAAAATACTGTAAATACAAGACATGCCCTTGAAGCACCTTCTAGTGTTGACCTCAATGCTTTGCTATGAGTTTGGGAAAAAACATACATTTGCCCCTTCAAATGCACATTCTCATACAAAACACATTGTTGTTTTCAGTGTCCAATTTAACTGCATTTCAGTGGATTTTACCTTCAGTCAGTGGAGATATAGCACGTATAAGTCTTGTTGCACCATTTTCAGTCTATTATGTTCATGTGTTGTGTTCTTTGGTTGCTACATACCAATAACTGGGATTAGGTCATCCTAGTTGAAAGAGAAGATATTTCTGTCTTGTGTTTTGCATTCCCTGGTCACTGACTTGTAGACTGGAATTTCATTCTTCTATTTTTATCCACATTGAGGAAGGAGGGCTGTTGGTGCATGTAAACCTTAAAATGTGTCCAGAAATGTCCAGCGCTGACCGATGTCCATATTTGTTACCCTGTATCCAGAGTCTGCCAGGTTGACACCTCACCATGCATTGAAATGTTATTTTGCTTACTACCTTGGCTGAGTTAGCATTGAGAAAGCTGTTTGCTGTAAGATGCAACAAGCCCTGGGAAACAGAGAGAAAAAACAAGCAGGCTTACAGAAACCTGACGACAATGCCATTAAGTTGAGCTGTATTATGCTGCGTAATAGGAAAACCATCTTAAGCAGCTTAGCGGAAAGCTTTATGCCTGCATCCATTTTTTGAGATGAAATCTCTTCATCCGAAGGCAAAACTTCATATAAAGAGACAGAGGGAAGTGCTGTAGGTAACTGCATCAGTGAACTGGAAACTTCCGGGCGAGGTTGTAATCTTCTTGTGTTTGTGTATCCATAGATAACTGAAAATAAACACATTTCCCTGCCAAATATGGGTGTGCATTCAAGAAAGGAATCGGTTTCATTGTGTTTGTGTTGATGTGACACTTTGGGAAATTGTTGTGTATTAAAGCACCATAATACATCATTTTATTGCATATTTATTCATTTTTGACATACTTTATTGCCCTCTTAATATGGAAATAAAGAGCTAAAAGTGTCTCCTTCCCCCTGGCTAGAAAACTTCTACTTACAGGTCTTGTATGTGTGTCTTTCTATGTGAGGACACAAATTCAAAACTAATAAGTAAAGTCATCTTGTACTGCATAGAGCTGGTGTTGGACATTATCACTCGAGTGAGCCTCTGCCACGTCTGGCTAGGAGTGGCTTTGTGTTGCACGTCATGTCACCATGGGAATGCATCTTTAGAAGAGTGCAAAAAAAACACCATTAATATTTAAAAATTTAAAATAAGAGTTTGAGTCGCTCTTCATGAGTATGAGGATCACATTAGACACTTGTAACATCTGTTTTCAGCTTTTCATAAGGTCATAATATTCTTCTATATTGACTCTGGAGTAAGGATGGGATTCAAGAATGTATTTTTCTTCATTTTGATTCACATCAAAACTATGTTGCAGAATTTGATCTGCTGGAATTAGACTTTTCTCCACCTCATCCTCCTCTGTTTTCTGTGGAGTTCCTCAAGGATCCATCTTGTGACTTATCTTATTCAAACTGCACTTGATTTTTTGGGAGGTTTTTTCATCCGTAATATTTTGTATCATGTTTTTTATGCATTTTGTGCATGCTCCTTAGTCCAAATGACACATTACCTATTTTTCATTAATTTATTCATTGGCTGTGCTCACTTATCCTTGCAAGGTAATAGAATAGGTGGTGCTTGTCTCAAGCAGTGAGACGTGGGATTCATTATGGACAGATTACCAGTCCATCACCAGACAACAGAGACAAAAAATGCATTTTAATTAGCCAAACATGTATATTTGGAGTGTGAAAAAAGCTGGAGCACCTGAAACGTGCACATTCCATGTAGGAAGACTGGGATTCGAACCCAGGACCTTCTTACTGCACGTGAAGGACAGCTGCAGGATCACTCGAAAACATTTTGATAAATCTCAAATTCTTGCCTCAACACTAATTTCCATTTACACTAGGAGTGTTTTTGATTGGAAATGTAACTTTTCTCAAGATGAATTAACTGGACCTTTATTTCAGAGAGCAGGAAAAAGTTGCAGGGGGATTATCAATGGCCTGCCCTTCTGACAAAGCCTAAACCACCCAGGCTTGTTGAGAGTTGTGGAGTTGCTTTAATCCATTCTGGACCTTAGAGTGACCTCACCGTATCAATAAGCAGCTTTCACAAAGTGCCTACTAACTCAAGAAATCTGCACGGGTTTCATTAGATGAAGTACATTCTCTTAACTCATTACATTTATTGTCTCTGTCTTTGAGCCGTCATTTCGCTAATGTCGAGTGAAATAAAGAAATGCATTTGAATTTGTTTCACGGGGATTTATACCTTCTGTCACAATAATCACACACAAATGGGTGGAAATGGCAGTAAAAGCAAACAAGGATTAATTTTTCATGCTTGATGATAATTCAGTTTGAAGTCATTTATCTCTTGTTTTAATGCTGAATGTCTTTAATGAACTTTATAAACAAGGACAATTACAACAAATTCATCAGCAGGAAGTGGAAAAGCAGCACATGGAAAAACATGCATACAGATGAATTCAGCTAAAGCTCAAAATCCAAAATTAACTCAATTTTGTGATCCAGTCTTTCTTACTTTTGTATTTAAGTCATTCTTCTATAATAAAGGTCCAAATATGGAAATTATGGAAATAAGATTAATAATTTTTAAATTTGCATGTTTTTAAATTATGTTGTGCTTTGATTACATCCAGTCATGGTAAAATGGCCAAGTCAGTGAACCAGTTGGCTGGCTAATTTTGAAAATAGATTAGAGTTGTTTTGTCATAAATTGTTGCTTTACCAGAGAGAATTGAGAAACTGCGCATCAGCAACCCTGAAGGTTGAGATTTTCAAAAAATTCCTTTAAAAAATTCCTTAATGTCGATCACATCTTGTTTCAATCTGGTTGAAAGAAGATTTATGGGCAATTTCAAAAATACATTTTTTTCAGTCTTCATCTTTTCGACCTGGATTTGTATGTTTTTTTTTTCGTTGAATCCGTTCCTCGCTGTGCTGAACAATTGCTATGAGCTGTTTGTGATGACATGCTGTCTATTACGTTTTTCATGAAACATGGCAGTGTGTTTTCTTTCCAGAGGTCTTGATGTTCCTTCAGGTGCAACTTTTCCAAACTAAGCTATACAGCCGCATTCTTTTGAGACAGAAAAAAAAAGCGCTTTCTCATAGCAACTGTTCCAAACAAGAAAGATTTGTTGTGTGCTTCAGTTTGTTAGGAGGATTTCCAACTTCTAAAATCATTCTCATAGTAGAAAGGACAGTTTGGCTCATAACCCAAACTCTTACTAATAATCATTTTATTCAAGTAAATTTGATCACCACCACCTGACTTCTACTTTTCTTATCAAATTTTCTTTTTTTCTACTTTGACTTTCTTTAAAAGTGAAGCTCAAGTGATACAAGAAAAAAAGTTCTGATCATTTATATTCTGATCAGGGAAAGCTATCAGGAAAAGTGGCACTTAGAGGAAAGCGGACGTGTATCATGA